AACGAGCGTGCAATGCCACACAATAAACGGACAATATGAGAATTTGGAATACCTCTATAGCTGAAAGAGAGAACCGGAAGAACATCATTTTCCTGCTTAAACCTCTTTAGACTTGAATGTCACGAGGGGTCCACATGTTCTAATAAAAGGCCAGAGCAGTGGACCCATGCTTAAAAATAGTATCCCCGACTGTAACCAAGGACCCATCCGTCCTAACTAGCTTTGGAATCCATGGCATGACAGTAACGGGACAGGGAGTGCCACCAAAAAAGGACCCAATGTCACGTATAACAACGCCCGGATGAGCCGTCACATTGGGTTCATCTGCCAAACTGATTGAGCGACCAACTCTTTGCCGCTGAGCCAATGGGACGTTATCGAGTCCCTTGCCATCATCCGACTGAGTGGGCCTTTTTCCCTGTGATCGGGCCTGAATGATTTGTTGGGGCTGGGCATCACCCGTTTGACCAGTAGTAACCTAATTGAGCCGAGGCAAATGTTTGTTCCTCCTGAACGAAGGGATCTGCAACTCGTCTATGCAAATTACCTCAAAAGAGATATTACAGAAAAACTCTGGGGTTATGAAATCTGAGGATGAAGGGACATTGTTCCACAAGTTCAGCTCCAAATAACAAAGCTTGGCTCTACAAATACTAAAGTCCAGAAGATTATAAGAAATGTCAATATGATGACAAATGAATAAGCAAAAACAAGGAAGGCAGACTTCACAGACACACTCGTTTTTGTGTTTTTTATACTTTTTATACAAAAGGACGAAACAGTCATTAAAAATAGTTGGAATTGGATAACGCTCAAAAGAGGCAACTTTTTAGTTCCCTCTAACAGCTATAATATTCTTTTTCCAACCCTTCTCCGATTCAGGGTTATTATGGCAGAACGATAGACCTGGCATGGGGAAAAGGTGATAGTACTTCTTGGTGTGCCAAATTTTACATACTTTATAACCAAAAAAAAAAAAAAAAAGAAGAAGATCCAAAATGTTTAGATATATATTTCTCTCCTGATTTAAAAGCACCAAAACAGACATGATCTTAAAGAAAATGGGATTCACTTGTAGCGAAGAGAGGTTCAATGATGTGAACTAAGCGGTGTATCAATATAAACCATATAGCACAAATTCAAGTAGAAAATGGCTAAGTAAGGGTATAGATCCACGAAGATTGGTAACTTATGGCAATCAAAATTCAAAGATTACTTTCGAGTTTGATAAGTGTCACAAATTGGATTGATGATTGGTTGGTTTGTCACTTAGTATAAATTTAAAACAGAATTTAAAATGAAATCAATGGTTTAAACAAAAAGGAGATGAAACTAAGGAATCGAGTTCACCAAGACCTCATAAACATGCTTCTATGCAATCAACTTGGGGAAAATAATTATATATAACTATAATGTGTAGAAATATAAAACAACTACAACATTTTCCAGAAATTCGTACAATTCAAAACTAAGCATAACCCATCTTTGGTTAAAATGGCTCATCCACCTAAACTAGATTGTGGTATGAGCCATCTTCCATAGGCATGGCCTATCAAGGTCTTAAAATTGTAAGTTTTAGCACATGAAAGTCAAGCATCTAGTATAAACTATCTTCAGTAGGTATGAACCATCTACCTAACTAAATTTATCTAAACGTGTAACATAGTCCATCTTCCCTTGGCATAATTTATCCAAATTCTAACATAACATGCCAATAAAGCCATTTCATGAATTCAATCTCATTGTCACTATGAGAAAATCAAGAGTATAATTATACAAATATGGTTTCTAAGACAAGAATTGTATATAAACATACTCATATATAGGAATTCAATTCAGATAATACACCATTTTTATGTAAAAACACTAATTCAGATAAATCATCTTCTTATTCATGAAATCAATTATATACAATATCATTTCCTCAAATTGAAATACAAAATACTACATGATTACTTGGTCAAGGCTACCTTAACCCCCTAGGAGGGGATTTAGCTCATTCTGGAACTTGTAGAAGCCCCAAGGAGAGAAGAAGAAGCCTTCATCGTCAACCTCATAGCAGCCCTTCTCAAGAACACTCAAGAACCCTAAAAATATAGAGATATGTATATAGCCCTTTAATAGTCAAACTAAAGGTTCAAACTCCCTAAAAATCGTGCATTCAAGTGGAAGAAAGAGAGATAAATAATTGAAAATTCAAATCAGCACATTTATTCGTAGGTGGGCGTCCAGACGTAACTTGGCATGCTGTATGTCTTGCATGCGTTGGGGTGCTTGTGCTGCAACCTTCTAGCATGGGGCGTTCGAACGCAGAGATGGGCGTCCGGATGCAAATTTCTGTGGCTACTGGAATTTTATATCTTATGAATTTGCAATTGCTGAGCCACGTTTCCACAGGGCGTCCAAATGCCAAGAATGCTCTTGGAGGCTATGTTTAAACGCAAGCCTTGTTCTTCAAATGGCTTTCATCTTCCTTGCCCGGCTTCTCAGGTCGATTTCCTTCCTCAAGCTGAGCTTGTTAATGGTCCTAAGACCCATTTTGGTTGATTCTTCAGCTCGCCATAACCCATGTTCATTGAGATTCAGTAAAACCTCGCTTTTATTCCTTTTTGGAGATAAGCCCTGAAAATAGACAAAACACACAAAAGCCTGTGATATACACTTTATTGATAAACTAAATAGACTAAAACATGCAATTAAGGGCACTTGAATATGAAATATTTAGCGCATATCATTTAACTTATTAAGGACTACGTGAAAAAAGGTGCAAAGGAAACCTAAGCACGTTCAGGTGAACGGCAGAAAAGAGGATATCCCCTTAGGCAAGGCCAACACCGGTTTTAATGTTGAGACTTCTAGGGCAGTGCCTAAGGTGAACATCCCCCGAAATCTCTCACCGAGAGCGAAGATTATCTAGATCAAGGACCATGAAGAAAATAGGGAGAAGAACTTCGTCGAAGAGGGGAAAGGAATAATGAAATAAAGAAACAAAAGGACAAAAACTATAGAAACAAGCGAAGTAGAAGAACTGACCTCGGGTGACAAAAAGATAGAGCAAGATTTCCAAAATTTGCCACCGGAAGGACGGCAAAACAAGAATATGGAACTTGCCGACAAAGAACCTTGATGAATTGAGAAGTGAAAATAATCGCCGAAGTAGGGGAGGTCAAGCAAAGAGAGACCTCTGTGCAGATCGGAGTCTTATAAATATATCTAGCGCGAAATACGAAGCGAGTGCAATGGTCAATGGGATGACGACACACTCAAAGTATCAGGACATGGGCCACTAACTCGAAATCTGCCCCTATCATTATGCTAAGCCATCGGTTGTATCAATCTCCATATCATTAATTTCACCTAATCATTATAATGAAATTATGGGGCAAGGTGAAAGGGCAAATTTACCCTTGAATGTCCTTTCCATTCCCCACCACCTCTTGAGAGTGACACTTGTCAAACGATTGATGTGGACTGGGCCTATATCGATCCAGTTGGCCCACACATAGTGAAATTAGGTAAAGGGAAATAATGTATAAATAGGGTAAGGAAGTAAAGAGGAGGCAGAGTGTTTCGTGTAAGAGAAAAGCTTTCTATCAATTAAAAGAAGATAATTTCTTGCATCTACACCACCAAACACCACTTCCATCACCAAACACATACCCAATTACTCTTGACTAACCATAAAACTTTCCAAATTGAACCAGAAATTCGTATAAGAAAATTGTACTCTCTCGCCAAACCAATCAGCACAACTGAAGACAGAATTGTGTCAACATCACCACGATGCGGCCAAAATCTACTATAGCCGTCGATTTCTTTTCGTCGGCATCGACTGACGGATCTTCACTATTGGAGCCTTCTCTCATTTTGCTAGAACATCTATTGGTCATTTCCCTCGTCAGAATTGGCTGGTCTTCATTAAAACTCTGTCTTGCAATCGATTCATGTGGCCACTCTGGTTTCTCGATCATTTAGTTTCTCGGTCGGCTTTTTGTGAGAGAGTTTTTTTAGAAACTCCAGCAAGGATTTTGTGGGAATAATACTTTTTCCACTTTGAGCTCATAACTAGATCTACCCGAGGATGTGGTGATAGATTTAGTAGGTCATTCTATCTTTTATAAGTCTTCCTATCGAGCCCTTGGTCGCATCAAAACTCCATTCCATTGCCTCAATAAGATGAAATGCTCCAATCCTTCAATTCAGTGGTATTCCTCGAAGACACATCGCCTAGATCTCTTCTTTTTCTTCTTTTCACATTCTTTTTGTCGCGGTCGCGTTGCCGCAACGGACAGGCAGTTGTAGAAAGTGTGTGTGTGTGTGTGTGGATGGAGACGATTTTGAAGAGAGAGAAAGGTTAGAGAAAAAAAAAAATTTATTGCTTGCATTAGCAAGGAGTGTATTTTGGAATTTTTATTTAAAAAAAAAAAATTGTGGTCAAAATTGGTGATTAAGGGGCAATTTGCTCAAAAGATGAATAATACATGGAGTTATATGCACTTTTTTCCTAATAAAGGGATTTTTTGCACACCTTGTATATATAGTGATGGTTTTTTTTTTTTTTTTCTTTTTTTTTTTTTTTTTTTTTTTTTCACTTAACCCTTCGATTAAATATAATATAATATTATTACAAATAATTTATTAAAGGGGTATTTTAGTTCATTATTACAATTTTTTTTTTATTTATTTCATGACATTATGAGGGTATTAGGGTCTTTTTTACTTACTTAAAAATTATTTTGGTCACTTTAAACAAATTTTTTGACAAAAAGTATTAATTTTTGTATGAGGAGGTGTTTGTAAAATCACGTCAAACCTCAGGGAAATACGTTTAAAAAAAAAAATACAGATCTGAGGTCTATTTGCAATTAAGTCAAAACTTAAAAGGTGATTGTAATTTACCCATTGTATTTATTTAAGTTAGAATTATAATTTTCATTTTGTATTGGTTTATTCAAATAAACAAATACGTTTTAGAATGAATAAACAAATAAAACAAATGGAGTACGTTTTAGAATGAATTAAAAGGCTCCAGGTGATAAAAGAGGTTGGACTATTTCCCGTTTGTCTGACCGCTTCGTAACCCATCAGAATTTCAAAATCATCAACTCTCTCTCTCATGGAAAAAGGCAAAGCCGCGGGGGCCTTAACAACATCGTTACAGAAACTTGATTTGAACCTTAGCTCTAACAAACCCAAGTTCACCAACAATTCCATTCCCACCCTTCAATCCTCCGGTACCCCTCTCTCTCTCTCTCTCTCTCTCTTTTTGATCTATTTTAACAAAATCAGGCTTCTCCTATCTGTATATGTGTTTGTATATTTGTTTATGGATATGGGTGTTTCTTTAAAATTAATTATTGGAGTATGGAATATTACATACACTGATATAGACATCACACACATATAGATTATATGGAGTTGCAATGGTATGATAGACCTAAATATTATGCATCTATCAGTGTTCTTTATATTGTTCTTGATAAGGGTCTTAATTGAACCCATTAAGTACCATGGCTAGTCTGATTTTATGAACTTGTTGAGCTTGTTGGTGGCAGTATTATCTCTTAAGAGGACAAAACCTCCCACTTTGGTCAGCTTATGTCTGGGTGTTGTGGGGAAGCATTTTGAGGATATCATTGAGGACTTGGGCGAGATTGCTGCCAGCTTTCCTGCTGATATTAAGGTATCATTTGTTTTGCCTATGAAGAACCACTTATAATCAAATTGTATCAAAAGCATGTAGTATTATTTATTTTTTCTATTCTGTGGAAATAATTTAATTTTTAGGTCGGTTACTGCATAACCTTTTCTCATTAAGCATGTCTAATAGTGATTGAAGAAAACCCATGATTCATTGTCTTAGCATGTTCAATATGCACTTAATTATGTGTATCCAATCTTTTTCAAGATTGTTTGATTGTGTTGGACTTTTCTCAAGTACTTTGGTGGGTGATATATGATTTTTCATCAAAATAGTAAAATAAATAAATAATAAATGAGTTGAACCCTAGTAGACAAGAGCGTCCACTGTGATTGTTGATCTTCGCTAACCAGGCCAAATTTAGTTGGAGAGACGGAATTCAACTTTTCAGTCCATGATATGATATCTAATAGCTAGTTTCAATTTAAGTAAGTCATTATGATGGGTACCATATACATGAAAAGGACTCTTCATCTGTACCTTGCATGACCATCAAGGTACTAATTGCCACTCACCTTCATGACTTAATGGCTTCTATAGTTGCTTGCCTGCGCTTATCTTAGTTCATGAACCGATTAACACCTGTAGAGTATATTTGGGGCAAGATAGGGCTAATTCGCAGTAGTGGTGTTGATATAGCATTCAGGTAGGTCTTTTTTTTTTTATTTTTTTTATTTTTTTTTTTATGTGGTGCTGTCATGTGTTGTTATAATCCTGAGTAAAAAAATTCATATTTTCTAATTTCAAAACACTTTCTTATTCATACTTAAAGGCGTTGTATATTTAATTATTTATTGATGAAGACTGTATTTTCATAGTACTTGATGAAGTGTGGCATGATAAAGGCTGTTTACTGATGAAAATATGCAAGTTTCAGATTTTACGTAAAAAAAAATTCTTTAAAGAAGCTTTGTGTTGCTCTTTTTTTTTTTTTTTGACATATAAAAATAATCTCCTTGAACTACAGATGGCAATGGCAGCAATTGCGCGGAGAAGAAAATTATTGGACGATGACGTCATTATAGCATTGGCTGACAGTTCTTGGGAAATCCTTGATTTATCTGGTTCAGATGTTTCTGATTTTGGCTTATCAGAAGTGGCGAAAATATGCAAATCTGTCCGAGCCGTGGATATAAGGTATAAGTTCGAGAGTCTCATATCAATGTAGCCTATTGTATGTGAGAGTCATCAGGAACTAAATGATAGATAATTTTTTCTGCTCACAATGTCGGAGTCATAATTATTTTGTGTGACCGGTCTCGAATATTTATGTGAGTGATAAATTTAATCACACTGGCTTGTTAATATGGAATGGTGATATTTTGATTATTTTCCCTTTAATTCTTAGTTATATTGAAATAATTTGTATGCAGCCACTGCAGCAAAATCACATCGCTTGGTGTTTCCGAACTTGTGCAGCACTGTCCTTCGTTGGAGATATTGAGATGCGGGTACAATCACTTTCTTCAGTTAAGCAGTACTTGTAAAGTTTGTCAGAGGATGAAAAATACTTACAAATTAATGCATGTTTTATGTTCTTTCCTACATTATACACCATCTTTGCTTTTCTTCTTTGCTGCTTCTCCCGTATTTAGTTTACAAACTCTAATAGTACTTGTAAAAGAAGGTCAAAGTATGAGAAATGCATGCTAACTAATGCATGATAATGTTCATTCCTATAGTGTGCATCATCTCTATAATTCTTATTTGCTGCTTCTCCTTATTTAGTTGGACAAACTCCAATAGTGAGAACATAAAGGGGGAATAATAGGATGATTGGATAGGGTAAAAAAAGAAGTGGAAACAAAAAAATTCTAGAAGTTTCGTTGAACCATTTAGCTCGCTTTTTGGTAGGTATGGATCAAACTGTCCTTTAATAATTGATTCCAAATTGGTAATTAATTGGACATAATTTTAAACTTTGTTGACTCCAAAATGTAGGATGACATAGATAGAATTTGAAGGGCAAGTGGGTACCCAAATACACTTAATTACGTCACTAAGGGCAATTTCACCCCACTAGGGGCGATCTCAAGGCGATCGTGATTTCATTAGTCTGAGATGAAATCCTCTTTAGAAATTGCAAAGATTCCAAGAATTTCACTTTGTGGGGATGTGAAGTCGGCAATTTCTCATCGCGGGCCGTTACTGTACATCGATGGGAAGTCAGTCTGTCGAAGGGAGGAAAACGGTTCTTTCATCTTGCTTGATCGGTCGTTTCAACAAAGAAGTTGGAGGATGTGATCGGGTGGAGGAATGGGCGGCACAAGCATGGAACACGTCTTGTGGAGTGGGGGTCACTCCCTTATCCGATTCGTTGCTTCTCTTCAGGTTTCCTTCTCAGGCAGAGGCTCAATGAGTGTTGAAGGAAGGCCGACGACAATGGGGATCTGTAACCTTGCGGATCAATGTGTGGTCTTTCAGAGTTGGATGTTGCGGCATTCTCAGAGACAAAGGTCTCAAAAAGATCCGGTTGTTCGGACTTCCCCTTCACCTATGGTGTCACGCTTTATTTGTTGAAGTAGGGGAGTTGTGCGGCGGATTCGTGGGAGTTGTTGCTGATGAGACAAAGGACGCCAAAAGCGTTCGGATTACAGTGAGAATTGGATCGCCCTGTTTACAGTTCGTATTTATTAATGATGACACCTTCTGCTACAAGGTTGCGATCTGGGAAGAAGTCTCGCCGGAACTAGTTCCCTCGACAGAGAGTCTTGAAGGCAGCGACGGGTCTCATCTTATAATGGAGGAAGAATGGAACATGCTTCTTAGCAAAGGGAAAGAAGGGGTGTTACAGATTCAACAATGGCTGAAAGACAGAGAACTCCAAAGGGCGGTGAAATACGTGAGAGGAAGATCAAGTAGCCGACACGCGCCGGTCAAGCGCGTTAAAGCTGATAAGGGAAGAGTTGCACGTGGCGACTGCAGGGGCTTTTATCTAGATTCTTCCTTATCCTTATCTTTAAGGGTTGGTGAAGAGGTTGGGCTGGGCCACAATTCAGATTGGCCTAAGGTTGGTTTGGGCCGGAGGGCGACAGGCCAGGCTAAAGCTTTAAGTCATTATGGGTCTAAGAATGGGCTCATCAAGAATAAGCCCAAGCCTGTTTTGACTTTGGTTAATCCTGGGCCTCGGATAGCCCATACTAAAAGACAGGTTCGTAAAGAACCCAACTCTTTGTCGATTTCTTTTTTTAATGACCCAGATCCATCTTTGGGACCTGTTAAAACACAGGTTCAAGCCCAATCCCAAACTCTCTCCTCTTCTTCGTTACAACGAGCTACACCTCACTGGTCCTTGACTAAGAAAGTGAAGCGGAGAAAGCCGAGTACTATGAAGCACGGATACGGACACGGGACACGAGTACGACACGACACGGATACGGCGACATGGCAAATTTCAAAAAAATAGGACACAGACACGGCGGGGATATGCCTATAAAATAATAAATAATATATATATATATATATATATATATATATATATATATATATAATTATATACTCAAAATATAATTACTAGAACCTTGCACATTCATTTTTAAATAAATTGCAAATAAAATAATAACAAATAACAGGACCAATTTCAATAATTTCATCTATGTTATAAGAAAAACATAGACAAGACAATACAGAAAATAAATGAAAAATAAAGTTGATTCAAATTCCAAACGAAGATGTGCAGAAGAGACATAGATATAATGGGCTAAATATGTACATGAATAAACATATATACTTTCAGTCTTTCACAAAGTCTTATTCATGTAATTTTAAAAAAAAAAAAAAAATGTCTTCTTCATGTACAAAGATAATTGAAGAAGAGGAGAGACTGAGAGAGGAAGTGTGAGAAAATAAATTTTCTGTGTACTACTCTGTTGTCTGTAGTTGTTTTTTATTTTTTTCAAAATTTTACTTCTAAACTTCTAAAATTAGTAAATTACATTAGGTACCCCATTTATCTTAAAAAAAAATTACAAAATATACCTCGCCATGTCCCCCGCGTGTTCGAGTCGTGTCCACCCCGTGTCCTTCGCATGTCCGAGCCGTGTTCACCCCGTGTCCAATTAAAATTAATTTCTGGACACTTCACAGAAGTGTCGGACACGTGTCCGTGTCCGTGTCTGAAAAGTGTCCGACACTGGTACGGGACCCTGGGAGGAGTTTCCGTGCTTCATAGGCCGAGTGCATCAGTTGGTCGCCAGGGTTCTCGATGGACTCGCAATGATAAATAGAGGTGGGTAGCATGCTCTCCTATTCCAGGTTTGAATTCTGATTCTCATTCTCAGAGTTCCATTTCTACCCCTTCTTTGTGTGAGGTGTTGGGAAATGGTGGTGGTGGTGGTGGTGGTGGTGTGGAGGATTGCATGGCTCAACAAAGGTGTTTTTTTGGGGCCATTGTCTCACAGAATGAAGGGTCACGTCTTCAAAGAACACGTCCGAAAGTGTAGGTTGCTCTCTAATGGGGTGACAGTATGTGTAGGACGGGACCTTCATTTCAAGTTGACAGATAACTTAGATGTGACTTTGCTCAACGAACTTAAGCTCTTTGTTGCTCTAAAAGGCTTAAATGGTCTACCCTCCGAGACTGAGGCGAATCATCCTCATGATGCTACGGACAATCCTGGAACTGAGATGGATATGCAGTTAAATATGTACCGGAATGATCTAAAAAGTGAGGGGGAGGAGTATGAAGATTAGTTTTCTTCTCAACAGGTTTGTCCTCATTATTTTATTTCCTAGGATATTGATCAATCTGATGTGAACATAATGGAACCCTTGGGAGCTATGCACCCTGATTGTTTAGAAATAGCTTCTGATTTAGGTATGGATTGGGTGTTTGAAAATATTGGCGATGTTAGTGAAGCTCTAGATGTCTCGTCGGAGGGTGATGTCAACCAAACTCAATCTATTCTTCATGCTATTGTGGCAGGAAATGAAATTACAGAGACCCATAAAAGTACAAAAGTTGTTAAAAATAGAAAACATTCATCACATCGGAAAGGAGAACAGGAGGTTAAGAACCTTATTTCCTATGTTAACTACGAGGAGAAGGATGGGGTGAATAAAGAAAGAGGAAGGACCAGAAGTGGGAAGCGGGGAGGAAGGGAATTGATCATTTTTGTTCTCAATGAAGATACGAATTCTTACTTGGAATGTCTGTGGTTTGAATGATCCGGACAAAAGAAGAGTGGTTAAGGCTGCTGTGAGGAAGTGGAATGCCCATGTTATATGTTTGAAAGAAACTAAGTTGGCTTCTATTACTGATGAAGTGGTTAAGAGTCTTTGGGGAGGAAGGTTTATGGAATGGGAAGCGTTAAACGCCTCTGGCACATCGGGCGGAATTCTAATTATGTGGGATCGAAGATGGTTGTCTAGAACGAACTTCTGGAAAGGGCTCTTTTCCTTGTCATGTGTGTTTCAGATAGAAGATGATAATTTTAGTTGGGTCTTTTCTGGAGATTATGGACCCGTTATTGATTGTGATAGACCTATCTTTTGGGAAGAGCTTAACTACGTTAAGGAATTGTGGTCGTTGCCTTGGTGCTTAGGCGGGGACTTTAATTCTGTTAGGTCTCCATTCGAGAGATCCACAGGGCGTAGGTGGTCCTCGGAGATGACCCAGTTCTCTGACTTCATTGATGGTCACTTTCTTATTGATCTGCCATTGGAAGGGGCAGCTTTTACTTGGTCTAGTGGCAGAGATCCAGTCACTCTTTCAAGGCTGGATAGATTCCTGATTTCTGGGGATTGGGAAGAGAAGTTCCCGGATGTTACTCAGGAAACTTTGGTTAGGGTCACGTTTGATCATGTGCCCTTAGTTCTTGATTGTGGAGGTATGAGATCTAGATGCACACCATTTCGCTTCGAAAATGTGGTTAAGATAGTTAGCGTGTATAGCTGAATGTACAGCTGTTATCTATTAAGAGTTACAGCTGTTATCTATTAAGAGTTAGCGTGTATTAGCTGTTATCTATTAGGAGTTAGCGTGTATTAGTTGTCAAATTAATTGTATAGTTGACTTACCTTGAATAGGTCTGTGTATTCTGTATAAATACCCTTGAGATATATGAAAGAAATATAACTTTTTCTGCCATTTATCTATTTGGTATTAGAGCTGAAAAAAAAAAAAAAGGGGAAAGGAATTTCCGCTGCTTTCTTTTCTTTTCTTTTGCTGCTACTTGTCTTCAATACCTCTTAGCCACGATCTATGGCAGCCAAAACAACCACTGATTCTTCCTCTCTAGCCGAAAATTCATCTGACAGCAAGAAGTTCTCCACGATGACTATTCACGAAACTTCTTCTCCCATTCCTATGAAATTGGATGGTGCTAATTATCGTGTTTGGTCTCAGATTTTGGAGATGCATATTGCTGGTAGACAGAAAAAGGGGTATGTCACAGGGAGAAAGGTTGCACCTACAGAGGATGATCCAAGCTTTGATGAATGGGAGGCTGAA